TTTTTTTTTGCTTTGAAACGTCTTTTCATCGTTTTTAGTATTGAAGAAAATGTAACCTTATAGATCTGCCCAATGTGTATTGCTTGCCCAGAATTCGATGCTAACAGAGAAATAGACAATTTGAAAACACACTGGACTGCTTTTCATGCGTAAGTCATCCTCTATATAAGATGAAAATCAGTTCCTTAAAACATTTGCTAAAGTTTAAAAAAATGTTTTCAATACAGAACTTTTCTATGCCAAAGTATATACTGCTCAAAAGAACTGTTTACTCGCCTACTGATCTATTATATTTCAAAACTGAACGGGAATAAGCCAGTAAATTGGATAAAATCGATCCAGAGCTTGTTCCATGTTAAGTGTGGCTAAATGCTGAATAAGGAAAGGGCAGGTTTCAAAGATTGTTTTGGAAATAGAGGAAACTCCTGCAATTATCTTGATACAGATTCGACTAGCCAGTTATCATATGAACTAGTCATTCTCGACCACAACAGATCAAATTTGTCGCTTTACAAGTTGTAATTATATGTCTACAGAAGTTTCTTAGACGACAAGAGCTGTTTTTGATTTCGTCAAGCAGTTTTAAATCTTAAAGAATGCAACTGCCTGACTGCATGGAGCAAATAGGCGCTTGCGCGCATGATTGTATGGAGTTTTGCTTAATGTCAAATCATGCTATGTATTATATCGTGATGTTAGCGCGATATTCTTTATGCTGACTTGATACTCTTCTTGCATCTTCATTTTGGTGTAGGTTTATTCAGTTGAAGCACATAAGTTGATAGGTGGGTCATATATTTGAGTATCTTCACCATGTTTTTGTCAGTTCAAATCCTGTAAATACGAATCTCTATTATTAACAGCAGGAGGCATCTACTTTTTCCACAGGAAAATCCGCAATGTTCCTTGCTTTTATGGGAACTCCAGAAATTTTTCAAATCTTACAACTTTTCAAAGGAAGACTTGCGATTTTAGAAATCTCGAGGCAGCGACGTATCGTGCTGAGCCTACGCGAACGAATGCGCGACGCCCGATGTTAGCAAGAAGAACTGCTCGACAGCCTGCTGGAGTTGGTGCGAATTGTAAGCTTTTATAAATCCATGCTCGCCGAACTCTTTACAACCCTCAAACTAGGTCTGCATTAGTTTTAGTGGGAGGTGGAAATGCAGCTGCTCCCACTGTCGGAATTGGTGCCGGAGGAGCTGGCACTATAGGTTTGCCGCCATGGAGCGCCGATATTGCTGATGTGGACGAAATGTTCAGAATGGTAAATCTCACCAGACACATCCCCACCCTGCCTCATATGCCTATCGCTGCTGAAATGCAGCGTATAAGCAATCAGTTGTTTCAGGTCAGTTTTGAATTCTTTTTTGAAAAGTCTGAATTTCGTTTAAAACATAATGCTTTCAGCCTGTTGCAAATGGAGCAAACCTGTTGCCTGCTCTAAATTCTCTACGCAATGTTGTGACGAGGAATAGCGAGTACGCACAACCGCGGAGCTCAAGCTCTGTTAGACAAACTTCCGCGGCAACTGTAAGTTTTTTTTAAACTTCATTTCTATACTTGGGCAACATGTTGCACGGA